AAAAAAAAAAAAAAAAAAAAAAAAAAAAAAAAGTTAGAGGCGTCAATAATGTTTGCTGTGACACAAACCTCGTAGGGCAATGGGCTTTGTGAGTAAGAAACGTGTATAGAACAAAAGCATTTATTTCTGCGATTTAGAGGTTAGCAAAGAAAGAGAATCCTAAGTTTTCCGACACGTACCCGCAACATCAGAGCACTGGACGTATAAGAAAATATAAACTTGAACTCAAAATTCTTTCTTTAAAATCATGAGTAATAACTGTCTTAATCAGCTAGCCACGCAAGGCTTAGAAAAAGTCTGCACTTAACTGACTAAATCAGTAATTTTCTGGCTTTTTTGAGACGCTATACTCGTACCTGCTAGACAAAAAGGCAAGATTAAAGAAGATCAGAGGCAGAAGACGCTGGAATAGAGGCTACTCTCTACAACTCTGCAGAATGATAATTTTTCAACATTTGTAAAACACAACTTTTTAAACAAATTTTCAACGATTGAAACATACCAAATTTAAATAACAGCCCTCTAAGCATTTAGAAGCAAACAAAGATGGCTGCGCTGCTGTGAAACGCATGCGACTTCTGTAAAAACAATAGGCTTTTTTTAAATCTTGCATTCCTTTCTTGTCCGTTACCCCGAGCTCCAAACACAAATCATCCACAAGTTTCCAAATAATCCAGAGAAAAAAGTTCTGCATAAATAATGCTTTCTTTCCATAATTTTGAAGTTGTGATTTCTTTATTTCAATATTGTTTTCATTGTGCTTGTACTACTCCTTAGCAAAATCAAGCTTTTCAACATGTTTCTAATAGTAGAAGTTGTAAAAAAAGTAAGAAATCAAACACCATTGAATTTTATTGGGAGCAAACTGAATTAAAAGTCTGCAGGGGCAGGCAGGTCAAACAGCCACCTGGCAAATTTAGCAAAAGAGAGCCAACTTGGCTGGCAATGCACTGCTCAATGTTTCCTTTTCGGCTTTTTAAATTCAGGTCTAGTCTACTAAAGTGGCAAAATTCAAAAACTTTTAGATAATATGTAAAAAAATTTGCTGACTGGCATGCAACGGCCCATATGTTTGCATATAAACATGTATATATATATATATATATATATATATATATATATTTGTTTATTTATTTATTTTTTTGTTTTTTTTTAATATTTATCTTTATCTTTATATTTTTATTAACACCTATATTTACATTTATAATTATATTCATATTTTTACACTTATATATTTATTTACTCGTTTATCCATTTGTTTGATTATTTATTTAAATATATATTTTTATTCAATTATTTATTTGTTTATGCATATATACGCATACAAATAAATAAATAAATAAAAATATAAAAGTATA